GGGTTCTGGGGGACGGCGCTGGAGCTGGCACCAGTTGCTCCCCGGTCGGTTTCGCCGCGCGGTCCTGCGTCGCCCTCCGCTCGTCCGTCCGCGACCGTGATTGTCCGCCGTCGTCGTCCGTTTCGCGCGCCTCACAAAAGACCGGAAAACCCTTTAATCTCGATCGCCACTTCTCTCCGCGCTCGTCTCTTTTTGTCCCCGCGCCGCGCCGCAGCCCCCACACACGCCGCTAATTAAAGGGTCGTCTCCGCTTTCGCCGGCCTTTTCAGAATAGGTCAGTTGCGCTCTCCGGCCGCACGGCCCTGCCCCGGTAGCAATGACTCTTGAAGAAGTTTTTAGAATAGCTCCTTGAAAAACTCTGGGAATGTACGGAGGAGAAACGCCTTTTTTTGTATTTTTATGTTAAAAAAATCACGCACATGTGACCGTCCAAGAAAAAAGAGGCTCTAGTTTACGAGGGAAAAATTGTCGGTGGAGGGATTTTTGCGGATTTGGGTCTTCGAAGGATAACTCTTCTCAGTGCCTTAGAAAATAATTTCATTTTAATGCAAGCGGAAGGCGTAGAATTTGGTTATCATCCGACACTTTCGTAAACCCTAAATACGGCAGATTTCAAAGAGATTTTTCCTCAAAAACCACGCATTTTAAATGGATAACTTCAAAACTTCTCAACCTCGAATAGGCTGACATTTTTTGGAGTTTTGGAGTCCATTTTCCGCAGCATTATGCTCTGATGCCAATACCTTAATTCGAGTTTTTGTAGACGTAGGTCCCTTTTCTCTTGATGGTCACGAATGGGGGGGGGGGTGTAAAAGCGGTATAAAAATTTTATTCCTTGGGTTCGTATACCTAAAAGATAAAGACAATACTTCGTTGTTCCGATGAGGAAATAACGTATGTTACGATCCAGAGAAGTATCTTCCTTACAAAGTCTCTTTACAACTGCACATAATTTTTTTAACCTTACGCAGCTAAATACTATGCAGTTGTTATTAGAAATAATAGCATTAAGAGAAGAAGGAAAATAAATATTAGTTTGATCCCGGGTAACGTTAACGTCGATGTTGAAGTGAACCAAAAATTAAAGCACAAAATATGCGATAAATAACAATGATGTACATAGGAAACAAAATAAGTGTGTGAAGGTCTACCTAAAAAAACGGATGAAAATTGTCGGATTTTCACGTAAAAATTGCGAAAAAGGGCTTCCGATTTCGTAAATTTTAAGATTTTTTTTAACATCGATAATCATTCAAAAATCACGAATTTTTGACGATATAGTCTTCTCTCGATAATTCAAAATAATTAGGAATGTAGGTACCAAAGGCCATGATCGTAAATTTTGTATATTTTCTGTGTTGATGGGGTATAAAAGTGCCTAAGTATTTCAATATACTTAGGTACGGAAATATGGTGAGATCGTAAGCACAAGAAGAAACACTTTCCCAGCGGCTGTTCGCTAAGCTGGGAAGGTAGGTAATAACTTGTTGCTCTAAGGAAGTTCCCTATTTCTCAAGTAAAACTGTCGATTTTCGTAATGGGCTTGAATTTCAAACTGCACAATTCTATAATGCCAAAATCATTGAATCAACAATTTCAAAAACGACCTGACCAAGAACGTCGAAGAGTGTAAAAAACGAGAAAAAATTTAATTAGATCCAGGGCTTTTCTTAGATTAAAACAATTTTCAAGTGTATCTTTTCGGTCTATCAGAGTAAGGAACTACACTTTTTAATGCTCAAGACAAATTTTTGAAAATTTGGAAGTCAACCCCGTCGGGTCTCTGATGTTTCAGCCAAAACTTCAATTTTTTTTGGTGACAACTAACACCGTGTTGCGTCTGACGTTAGTATCTTATCGAAAGAAACGCTAAATCTAAGTTTTGGAGATTATCTGCAGGGCCGGATTAGCCAGGGTGTCGGGGTGCTGTAGCAACCCGAGCTTTCAGCTCCACGGTTTCCTTGAGACGGGTCTTTTTTTGCTATTATGATTCACAACTTTTTTTTTCCTCTGCGAGTGGTCCGATCAAATCTTTCAGGGGCCTCTCGAGTCCTGGAGATTTTGGAGGATTGAAGAGGTCAAGGGCTCATGGGGCCCTTAATTTTTTTGCGTACAGAATCACCATTTTGGAGAGCCTGAGCGAGAAATTTTGATGAAATTCAGGAATTATAACATGCACGATCGTACGAACCCTTAAAAACTATACACCACTATTCACAGGGCCTCTGAAGGCTCCTAAGTCGGCATTTTCCATCTCCTGGGACCAAAGTGAGGGCATCCGGGACCCATTATTTTCTTGAAAACGTACCCCGCCTTCAATTTACGAAGTATACATCCCGCAATGTGTGAGCCTTTGTATCCACGAGCACCCCGGGCTGGGGTCCTGAGCGCTAATACGGCCCTGTATCTGAACGGCTCTATACGTGCAAAGGTGCTAATTCTCACGGCTCACCTTAGAAACGACGTTCTTAACTGACGATTATTCCCTATGTAAACAGGTTATTTAATAAATGAGTCAGAAAACTTGGTCCCATTCTTGCGAAATGACGTCTACTTAATCTCGTGACGTTTCCGTAAAGACGAGATCAGATTACGTCACGAATCCAGGGCGTTTACGGCTGACTGACTGCATTCAACGCGATCTCAACTGTCCGTGGAAAAATGCGCCGGAGAATCGCAAAGGAAAACATTTTCCCCGGGACAGCATCGGATGGCATCTCTTTGACGTGAACGATGTCTGAAAGGCCAAAGTTGCTGTGACCTATCTGGCTGGCGTAACCACAGTTTTCAACAGGTATACCTTTAATGATTCTTTGAAACTGAACTCTATATTGACTCTAATAGAAAAATGTTTTGAACTTATGGAATATACTAAGATTGAATCAATGAATAGCTTTTATTCGTTGAGGAATGACGATATGGTAGCCAAGAGCTAGGTAAAAGAAATGCACAGTTTGTGGGCGAAGGAGTTATATTTATTAAAACAATTCCAAAGCTCCATCCAAAAAAAAGTTGATTAAAAAAGTTGGTTAAAAAAGTTGAGGATTACGTAAGACTATCAATAAATGTAAGTTTTTTGCCCGCAAAGCATTTTTTTACTCAGCACTTCGCCAATAAACCGTTTAGGAATAATTAGATCGCATTCATCAAAAAGGAACCAGCGCAAATACAGTGTTGTAAAAATATTGCTTCTCCATAATTATCTATAAAATCTCTCAGAATAGCAAATATGTTTTGCTTCCAACCAAAAATGGATTACTTTTGAAGGAAAATAATTACGTGAATTTTAAAAGTGTACATATATTGAGTATTTTTAAAAGGGAAGAAGAAGTCGCACGATTTTGAAAACAATGTAATCGCGTTTGTTACTTTTCGCTAAATGCGATCAGTTATTACTGTTAATAGGCGCCGAATTTTCCTCGAATTCAAACATTTTTTTGATAGTCTAAATACATTTTCCGTGGATAGTTTCAATCTAAAATTAAAATTTACCGAAGTTTAGGACTGTAGAAGCTGACAATTTCTCCGCATACATATAATGCTAAACTTTGAATCTAAAAAATAGAGTGACAGTATAGCAGAAAATACAACGACTTGAATAAAACATTTGTATGCCCAGTTTCCGTGATTTGGTCTGGCAGTTCTCTCGTGAATGATCCATTTTTCAATGTGAAGAGCGGGGAAGCTTCGCTGAGAAATATCGGAGTTAGTTTTGCATAGCTCTGCAGTGATTTATGGATCAATCGATCATTAATAATCTCATCCGAAGCCATGAGATATAGCAACATCGGGTGTAGCGCCTTGATGCAACTATTCGAGCTTTAAGGATGGCCGTGTTGCATGCGCAGTAATTGAAGGCGCTTTGCGTTTTCCTTCCAAACTGAAGACGTACACAGCCCCTGGCTACTCATTTGTCATGACACTGTTTGAGGCATCTTACGGCATTTTAAAATAAGACGGTTTTCAAGAGAGCTACCTATATGCAAAAATACTCAAAATCTAGATATTTTGATACCACTTCTTGGACTCTTAAATTGAAGGGATGTTGCATGAACATTTTGGTACCTACCAAACATGTACTTTACATCTGAATTTACGAGCGGTTGGAAGTATGCAGCGCAAAGTATTCGAAAGAATATTGTAATTTAACTCCTGCTTTTTGTCTAAAAATGAACTAAGCCATTACAAATAAGCTGACAGACGCTCACAAATGTTTTTCGTAGAGGGATAAAAGGATTCCTCATTTGCGCATGTTTTCGGATTACGAAAAGTAAAGTAAATCGGTGGTGATGCATAATAAGGTTATTCGTTGACATTATTTAGCTGATCTTTTGCTTTTAAACTTGAGGTTCTTTGAAGCAATTTTCTACTACCAGTGTGGTTCAACCTGCTGTACATATTCATTTTTGGCTATTGGATAAATTATAAATCATGGTCAAATTTGTTAACATCGAAAAGCTATTTCATTGTAATTTATCCATAAAACTAGTGTTTTTTATAAGTATGTTAAACTATTCACAACCAAGTAATGCACATTGAATTACTATTTTATTGTTTATTGTTATCGCTCGCAAAAATCTCTCCTTTGAAGGCTCTGTGGGTTTGATCAATTTTTTTTACACATACAAGTTTTCTTCCGTATTTATTTACAAATGTTTTTTAAGTTCTTTTCATCTTATTCTCTATTACGGCCACTAGAAAAAGTCGTGTTTTAATATTTAATAATGAAGTAATGATTAGGTGAGTAAGATTATTATTCTTCAACATGCAAAGGAATTTTCATGAGTCAACTGCAATCAACTGTGCCTAAGTGTGCATTCTCACTGGGTGCAGCCGTTTACGTGCCTACAAAACTATCCGCATTTTAAAGACCTTTCCTTGCGTGACTGAATGACCAAAAAGTCAATTCGACCATTATCGTTTATTCAGAAGGTCGATGGTAGACAACATTAAATAAGACAGAAGTTATCCTTAATTAACCGCTGACCGCTGATGGGCTCTTTTAGCGAACCCCTAAAGGTCAGTTCTTCGCCAGACCTAAGTTTTCTAAGTTAAAGCTTAACTTAGTAAGCATGCTTATTCAGGAATCGTGACAAGGGGTTATTTTTTTTTTTTTTTTTTTTATTCTTCAAATACATGTTACAACCACCTACTAGGTGTAAATTAACTTTTCTTTACAAATAAAGTAACTTAGAAATTGACTAACGTCTAATTTTTGTTTTTAAAGGGGTTATTAAAAATTCTGTTTGCTGGAAGTAGCTTTGCTTCGAGTTGACACCATGACGGAAATGCGATTTGAATTTTTCAATGGAAGAAATAAATAAGTAAAATTCGATATTTTTAAAAATACAGATGTACTTTCAATATCAATGGCGTTGATTTTTGGCTGCAAAGGGTTAGTTGCACTAGTCTTAGAATCACGTTTCCTAAGTAAAAATCGCGATGTTTTAAATCAAGTTGCGAATTTTTTACGAATTTTTGGCAATAAAATCGTTATATAGGATCATCAACAACTGGAGCGAGTATCCTCGATCTTATCGCAATATTATCATTATAAAATAGCGTTCAGTAAAATCAAAATTTTGTATCAATTTATCGCGATTTTCTCTTCGATAGTATTGCTATAAATCGACGTCGATAAAATCGCGATATAAGTTGCGGGTTTTTTCCGAATTTTCGGCAATAAAATCGCTACGATCATCAACAACTGAGCGAATATCCTCGATCTTATCGCAATTTTATCTTTATAAAATAGCGCTCAGCAAAATCAAAATTTTACATCAATTTATCGTGATTTTCTCTTCGATAATATTGCGAAAAATCGACGTCTATAAAATCGCGATATAAGTTGCGACTTTTTTACGAATTTTCGGCGATAAAATCGCTAGGGTCATCAACATTGGAGCGATTATCCTCGATCTCATCGCAAGTTTATCTTTATAAAATAGCGCTCAGTAAAATCAAAATTTTACATCAATTTGTCAAAATTTTCTCTTCGATAATTGCAATAGATCGACGACGATAAAATCGCGATACATCCTCCAATCATATCGCAACTTACCGCAATCACTGCAACTTGGGTTTAGTGCGGTTTAAGCTTACATTAAGTACCAATATTGTGCAAATTCATTGGATTAGAGATTCAAGCGCGAATGAAGAGAACAGGAGCGCTGAGCGGATAGTGACTGCATGAGTGCATCAGTGGCGTGGCGTGCCTTCCGATATATCGATTTGACCATTTAAACCTATGGAAAAGGATCGATAAACAGGGTGTTCGCAACGACCACTTAAAAATCGATTCTTTACCATAGCTTCGAGTGGGGAAATATCGACAACCAATCATTCACGCTTCGCCACTGGAATGAAACGAATACATCGATTGATCTGCCATTTAAACCCATGGAAAAGGATCGATAAACAGGGTGCTTGCAACGACCACTTAAAAATCGATTCTTTAGCATAACTTCAAATGGGGAAATATCGATAATCGATCATTCACGCCTCGTCTCGGAGTCAGTAGCGTGGCGTGAATTGCGGTATATCGATTGTTATGTCATTTAAACCTATGGAAAAAGATCGATTATCAGGGTGTTCGCAGCGAACACCTTAACAATCGATTCTTTACCATAGCTTCAAATGGCGAGATATCGATAATCGATTATTCACGCCACGCCACTGCTCGGAGTGCATGTCTACCGAGGAGCTGCAGCACTCGGAGATCTCGAGAAATAGGTATTTACAGTCGCTGGAGCCCTGATTTGCATACCCACATCCAAAGAGGATTCATTCTTTCTAATTAACGCATTGTTCTCGAAATGGAAATATTTTTGCTCCGGACAAACTGGAAGCGGTAAGCCGATCGAGAGGACAATTTTAAATTCCAAGGACGTCGCTACCCGCCATGTCTTGCGACAGTTTTAACTCGACAGAAAAAGGTTGCGAAAAAGGGATGTATCTACACGTGCACTTGAGCCGTAAGGATTATTCAACACACTCTTTTAAAATGATTCATTTGAAAATGTACGTTTGTTCCTTTTACTCACTTAAGTCTGTTGAACTGAGCTGCTGTGAGCTATAGTGGCGAGACTTTATTGCAAAATTTCGGAATTTTCGTGAATACCACGATTTTCCCCGTAGATTTCGGTTGAAGTAAATTAAGGGGCTTGGAGGACAAGGCGCATAAGTGCAGTTTTTGCTACTTCGAGAAATGCGCGTTTGTAGTTTCAAAATTATATGGATCCTTATGGCGGAAAAAAAGTTCAAACTGACTTTTCAATGCTTAAAATTGGAATTTGTGAGCGAGTTTTTCACAGAATATGCATTAAAACTTGTTTTACTCGAAATAGTTTATATCTCAATTTTTTCAAAAACCGCACTTATGCGCCGTGTCCTCAATTCATAAAACACGTTTCTCAAATTTTTACATTTGGTTAAATCTCATCGCAAGCTTTATTTTTTAATCGGAAACTAATCAGCGACATCTCCTGCATACCTAACGTCACGAATATTTTTTTCTTGCGAGAAGATATTATCTGTAAAAATATGTCCAGCAATGAAGTTGGGTCGTTCCCTTAAGAAAGATTATTCGCAGGTTGCTGGCGCACAGTGGAGCGAGTCAATAAGAGAACTCGGACAAAATTTAGAAACTTTAAACACTTATAACTCCGTTCACACAAAAATTTGAGGATCTTAGAATGGTTTCATAGGTTTCTTCGTAAAATTTTCTTCCAATACAGCCATGCTGAGGAAGAACTCCGTATGAGACTCCAGACGTTGCCAAATTTCCTTTGATAAAACACGAATTTCCTGGTAAACTCATAAATATTTTCCTTCCAATTTTTCAGATAATTTTGTTTGCAATTTCACCTAGAGTTCCTTAAAATTTCAAGGAAAAATATCCATATCTTCCCTCAAAAATATACATTATATCGAGGGAAATTTGGCAACTCTCGAATGTTCACGGTGTTCCTCCTCAGCACGGCAGAATAGTACCCCTCGAAATTTAAAATGTGACGAAATAAACATCATCATTTGCAGTTTTAGTCAACAATTTCATGTCCGACCTCTCAAATGACTCGATCCACTGTGTGGCGGGGGAAAAGCTCCGATGAAAAAAAAATGTCGATGGCCAATCCTGGGGTCGATAAGCGTCTACCAACGGCGAGGAACCCCGAGTCTCGCACATTGTAACCGGGAGACAGGAAATAATAGCCTCAGCTATCTAGTCACGTACTCGTACATCTTCGTGCAAAATTTATGAGATCTTCGCGGGTAATTGCGAGCCTTCCAAGCCAAAGTAGTGACGTTGAGAAAGAGTCACCCGTCGCTCCCAATAAGCATGGAGGGTCTTCGTGTGACGTCATTTATTGCAAGCAATCGGAAAAGAAATGACGCTTGCTCCGATAATCGAATTCTTTCGCATGTTTACCTACATGCTTCTGTCCAACAGCGCGTGCCAGGAATGGACATCGGACGGACAGAGTAGGTAAGAGGTGAAGCATCTAACGTGTTCCCAAATCGAAATTTCGTACCCAACATGGTCAACTTATCGATATTCCGTAAATAAACTTATTGATATTCCTAACATCAACTTTTGAGAGATTGGAGTGTGTATGTGTACTGCTTCTTTTCGAATCAGTCAATTCTAATTTCATGTTCGTAAAAGGACCGTAATCATCACTCGGAAAATAAGTGGAGTTGTATTTTAGGGCAGTTTTCGTCTTTCTCTGATGTGTACGTACATGCATGCATGCATACATACATACATATGGATAAAATGATTTGCAGCCCGACCTGATACGAAAGATGACACACAAAAATTTGGGATAAAAGTTTTTTTTTTTTTTTTTTACATACATACATACATACATAAAAGCTGCTTTTGCAGAGCTCTCTGGCGCTCAGCGACACATGGACGCCAAAGTCTTCCTACCTTCCTAAAGCCCTTCAGGAAGTTGATACTCCCTAATTTGATTTAAAATCCCCTGTCGCCACGCTTTTACTGGACAGGGGAGGAACTCAATTAACTATCTTCTTCGGCAGCCTTTTCTCCCGACATCTTGTTAATTAACATGATCATACCAGACAAGCTGTTTTGTCATGATGCCGAAAACGATGTCATTTCCGACCTACATGCTCCAGCAGACTGTTTCATTTCGGGCCCGATCGTCGATCTCTCCTAAAAATTCCTGCCGACCTCCGCTCTGCTTAATAATGAATGGGTGCGAGCAGAATAAACGATTTTCCTGGCGAATGCATGTCTCCATTATTTGGCAGCGGTGCGTGAAAGATGTAGAAAGTCAGCTTATGCCGTATCACGTTCAATTTTCTCGCGCCTTCATCGGCGTATGCAAATCAAACATAGGTTTAAATGCAGAAAATTTTTCTAGGTAACATCTTTGATTTTGGCTTATCAAGACGTGCTACTTGCCTGGACAAGTGCGAAAGTGACAGAGCCACAGCGCGCAACTGCTCGTGCTTCCAAGCAGGGCCGGATTAAGGGGATGGCCACATGGGCTGCACCCCCAGGGCGGCAAATTTTGCAATTTTTTCAATGTAGGTATCAAAAAAAAAGAGAAAAGAATCGGATTCAGAAAATAAATTACAAACGAGAAAAGGCGACAGAATCTCTCATTTCCTGAGGGTAAAAGTATAGTAATTTCTAATTTTGTCGTCATTCGGTGATACAAGAGACAACACCTTTAATTGGCCGAGTTAAGAGAGAAACCAAACACGCAATTTAACCTGGAACGGAGCGGCGCAGCGGTCGGCATGAAACGCATAGCGCCTACAAGACTTCATGAATACTTCCCGCATTGCGTCAAATACAGTGCGGTCAGCAGCGGCCGGCAGCGGTCGGCGTGAAGCGCATAGCGCCTGCAAGACTGCATGAATACTTCACGCATTGCGTCAAACACAGTGCGTTCAGAAGCGGTCGGTGTGAAACGCACAGCGCCTATTTGACTGTAGGAACGCTTCACGCATTGCGGTCAGTTTGTTCTCTCATAATTTTTTCGTTCATTTCTTATAAATGGAAGGCCTTGTTCACGCAGAGGTAGGTTCACGGAACTTAACTTTCGCGTAAAGTTCCGTGAATTTTTGCTGGTAATGTTGACAGGGCTTTGCAAAAAATGTGTCCAACACGAGTAAACGCGTCTTATGCACCCCTCCCCGCTGCACGTTCACTTGATGTTTTTTATTGATGTTTCAAAACGAATGAGAAGGGGGCGGCAAAATACGGGCGGCCCACGGGCGGCAAGTAGGGAAATCCGACCCTGCTTCCAAGCCGCGTACATTGTAATCGCGGTTATTGAAGGCGAACCAGATAGCACTAGAGACATGCAGTGCGGCGAGTAATCATTGCTTGCCGGGACGGATCGCAAGTATGACAAAACTACTGCACGCAAAACTTGTGCTCTCAATCCGCTCATATTGGCATCGCGGTTATTGAAGGCGAGTTAGACAGCATAAGAGACACGCAGTAAGGAGAGTGTTCAACATGTGTTCCTCGGCTTCCTACGATTTTTCTCCCCCCCCCCCCCCCCC